AATAGATGTGCATAGTTCCAACAAAATATTCTAGGTAAAACGCTTTAAGAATAATTTGAAACTTCTACTACTTTGAACTTTTGCCTGTGTTAGAGAGGCTGTGCACGATACAGTAAAAACAGACTAAGCAATGCAATGATTTTTTAAACTGATACCACCTTAACATTTAGAAGGAAAATTTTACTAATTATTGTTCCAATGATGAAAAACATGCTAAGCCTTATGAACCACCTTAATAGTCACTGCCAGTAGGACTCTCTTGCTGCTGGCCCTCTGGTAATAATAATAATCCTTGCATTTGATATAGGGCCTTATCACGTCTTCAAGACATCTCAAAGCACTTCACAGAATATAGTGTAATGTGAATTGACTGTATATTATGTGGGCGAAACGCGGCAGCCAATTGCACGCAGCGGCGTTCCACAAACAGTCGTGGATTGAGTGACCAATTTATTATTATTTGGTGCTTTGCAGAGTGATTTTAGTGCATCTGTGAGCTTAGACAGTGAGTGTGGGGTAGTTCCGATCCTGTCTTGAAACAACAATAAGCAGCTCAAATTGGTTTGCCTACTGAAGTCATGCTCCTGCTATGCAGCAAATCATCTAATATGCACTCTCCTCCTCCTCCTCATTTTGACAGACAAGATCAGGAATTCACCTTATACGGAAATCTGGTCATGAGCCAAAGTCCTACTTCTTGTGCTCGCATAGTATGTCGTGACAGATGCTATTGCACTAGTGTGTTGACTTCCTTACTGCAACGGCTGCAACCATTTGTAAAACTTTATCTAGAATTTTGTTTAAATTTTTGCTGCAAAATTATGTAATCTGGATTAAAGGAAAAGAGCTTAAGCATGGGCATACTTGTAGCTGGTTCAAATCCGGATGATTTGGGTTGTAATTCAGATAAGCTTTAAAATCCCATTAATTTTGCTCTGTTGCGGGGGGGGGGGGGGTGTAGTGTGGAGGGGGAGAGAGCAGGTAAATAAAGATTGAATAAAGGTACTATTGCTGAAAATTTGGGTGGGCTACTTCAACTTTAAAATGTTTTAATGTGTGTTAGTTAGCAGCCAGCTAACTTTCAATAATAAATAAGGCCTTGGCATGTCTGATATTGAGGGCATTGTACATCTTGGCAAATTACTGGTCTCAGGATGTTACACCAAGTACACTATGTTTTGAGTACCTGTCTGCCTGGTATAAATCTAAATACAAGTTTGATTTGCTGTGATCCAGCTTCTCTGTGAAGTACCAGCAGTACCTGTCGCTTCACTAACCCTTTTCAAGAAATTTTAAAGACATTCTTGCAGATAAAAACTCTTTGTACAGTTCCTTGATACCACTCGACTTGGAATACCGTGTATATACACTGTTAATTTATTGAGCTGGGGGAACTATGAGAACTCAGACTGTTGCACTCGAGTCTCCCAGAGAATTTTGTGGCAAGATTTGTTTAGACTTCGACCTTGTGACTCAGTGGTATTGGTATTAGAAATGTACAATAGATGCCCTGTTGTAGGGATAGGGATGCCGAGGCCAATTATAGCATTTATAACAACAACTTGCATTTATAAAGCACCCTTCACCTGGGTAGCACCTTGAACTGCTCCAGTAACTCAGTGAGGAAAATGCACCAACAAGTATTGGTTGTATAGATCAGGAATGGCCCAGGTTCAATCCTTGTTTTTTTACTGTACTTTATTTGATCTCAAATAGAGCATTTCTACAGGAAACGATTGAACCTGGCTGTGGTTCCTCCATAGACCGTGAATAGTCCATCTTGGCAGAGTAGCAGAAAGTACCTGCCCACTGCTTGTATAACTGCACACCATTAGTTGCACGTATCGTTATTGTATAGACTCTTAATTCCCCCACCCCCACCATCCCAAAAAGGAGTTTTGACAATTAATTCCTTATGAAGACAATAGCTTTAAGGAGTTTTTTTTGATGACAGTAAGGAGTTTCCTAGCATTCCATTTACTGAAAATATAAATGTAATTGCCTGTAAGATTGGCTGCAACTGGTCTAATTCATGTTTAGGGACTTCTACTATATACGGGCTTCTAATAATTATCAAACTAAGCGGATTCCCTGTACAGTATGAATGTCCTAGTTTGTCCTCCGGGTAGGAGTGGCAGTCTATGTATAATTATGCCATTTTTTCGCTCTGAACGCTTTCATTCCACCCCTACTAATTTTACAGTATTTTTGCAAAATGTAATCACAGAATCTAGCAGACAGACTGCAGAGATCATCCAGCAGCTGTCTGTTTACTGTTGTGTGTATTCAGCCTGTTGTCTGCATCTGTCGCCACTAACTACCAGGCTTTTTGAGATGGACTTTGCGGTTTTATTTCCACGAATTCACTCTAAGAATACTTAGAAAAATTGTTTGCCAAACTATATATATATATTTTTAAAAATCAACGAAACATCATGCATTGAAGTATCTTGGACAGTGCCCCTTCAGCCTTTGAGGCAAAGGCAGAACATGTTGCGTTGCAGTCTGCATACTTTGCATTTTTGGCTTATTCTGGTGCAGAAATCTATTTGGTTCTGCAAAGTTAATGATCCCACATTCAACACAGCGTACTCCATTTAGAGGAATAGCTGGCTGGTTCAGTATAGACTCTGCTCAAACTCAACACTGCTCCCCTCTCAAATTTATTTTAAAGATAATTCTAGCTAGTTCCACACCCAGTTCCCGATTTTGTTTTCAGTAACCCAGGCAAGCAGTCCTCCCTGTTCCAATCTATGCTTCATAGCTTCCAAAGTACATTATCATTAGTACAGCTCAATATAGAACTTGACCTGGTTGAATTACTCACATAATAGTACAGTTCAAGCCAGTTTGTACTTATTTTAATTTGTTTTTCTTCTTTGTTTACTGTTTTCACCTTACCTGTTTTATTGATGTATTATAACTGCAGCAGTGTAGTCATTAATAATTTAATTATAAATAATATTTTTTTTTATGTTGATTTTAAGTTTTATTTCTAAACTGTTTGGGGAGGGTGTGTGTGAAAGAGGATTCCATGGTGAAGCATATCAATGCTGAAAATATAATTTTCTCTTTTGACCTAGCATCACTACTGTAAAGTCACTGCACTTTTCATTAAATCAAACATTGGGTACTAGATCAAATGCACTGAATATTTGTCAATATGAGACATTTCCAGGTCAGATATAGGATGAAGTGAATGCAAAGCACTTTAACTTACTCCCTGTTATCAAAGGCTAGAATTTGATCCTTGAAATCTTGATAAAAATACCTTGAGATAATAATAGAATTTGGCTTGTTAAAGTCTCTCTCCTAAAAAAAACGTGGTCCTCCGTATATGTGAAGCTCTCAACACAGAACAAACCTTAACCATGCAATTTCTGAACCTAAACCAGCCCAAAACTTGCAGATCTCAGACTGTTCTCAACACTAGAATATTCTGTACTTGGCCACAAAAGCAGACAGGCCACCCCACTGCACTGGTTCAAGGTCTGTGAAGACAGTGCATTTAAAAATAAGAAATAATTTGAAATAAGAAAAGATTAGTTGCTAACAACTTAAAGCTGTACAGCAACATTCAGTAACTCGTGCAGGCTATTTGAGATCTTGTAGGAGCCACTGAGCGATGCTAGTGGTTGTCTCGCTACCAAATCTAAATTCACTTTAGAAGCTGAAACTCCTAAGTGTTTAAATATTGTTTAAAGGTACCAGTTACATATTTACATAAATATGTTTAACATGAAATGTCAATACAACAACAACAAAATGACATTTATAGAGCGCCTTTCACGTCAGGAGGACATCCCAAAGTGCTGAACAGTCAGTGGTGTAGGGGTGAGGGAAGGCAGAGAAGGAGGGAGGGAGACCAAAGGCACGATCGAAGAAAGAGTCTTGAGACCGGCCTTGAAGGATGCGAGGGAGGAAACGAGGCGAAGGGACCGTCGGATGGAGTTCCAGAGTGTGGGGGCAGAGAGGCTGAAAACCCGGCCACCGATGGTAGGGCGGGTCGGGCGGGAGACATGGAGCAGACAGGAGCCCGATGTACGGATGGAGCGGGCAGGTTGGCAGGGAGTCAGCAGGTCAGAGAGGTAGGAGGGGGCAAGGCCATGGATGGCCTTAAAGGTGAGGACGAGGATCTTGAGGATCTTGAACTCGATCCTCTGGGGGATAGGGAGCCAGTGGAGTCGGGCGAGGGTGGGAGTGATGGGGTCGTGGAGCCTGGTGCGTGACAGTACACGAGCTGCAGAGCTTTGGATGGTCTGCAGCTTGTGAAGGGAAGCATTGGGAAGGCCGATGAGGAGGGAATTACAAGCACTCACAATGCAGCAACTTGCATCTCTACAATGCCCTTCATGTAAGATAATGTCTCGGAGTGCTTCACAAACGCAAACGTTATTATCCCAGCTGAAGCAAGCTGCAGTATGGAGTCAAATGAAATTCTCGTACTTCAATCCAAAACATGGCGCAGCACAAAAAAGCTTTTTAATCTCTGCAGTGGGGTTTTAAAGGTATTTTAAAATCATTACAAGAAGGATTTCAACAAAAAAAATAATTATTAAATTGAATCAGTTAACCAGTTGCCAGGGAAATTCTGCATGGGAAGTAATAGAACTGTCAGAATCTGCTTCTCGCCTTTGAGGCAATTTTTTTGGGAGTCAGACAGATGTCTGACACATGCGTAAACCCATCACCATGCTTAAGAGGATCCAAACCAAATTGAGAATTCCATACAACTCACTTCCACATGGAAATTCCAGAGATAGATAGTTGGAATGGAATGTGCACTCTCTCCCTGGAGCTGTGCATCCTGCTTGCCTAATTCCGGAAAGTATGAGGCACAGGTTGGCAAGAGCCAAGGCTTGGGGACCCCAGAGTGTGCGTTGGGGTAGTGCTGGAGTCTAACCAGCTAAAGCTGCATAGTGCAAATAAGAGTTGAAAGTTGTCCGATTGTTCGGGACTTAGAATAAAAAATGCTGATCTTTGTCTTGATCTTGTTGCAGCATCTTGAACTTGGCATTAGCCTAGAACAGATGGCAGACAATGTCAACAAATAACAACATAGCACATGCACGGAAACTGGTGGAACAGCTGAGGATTGAGGCAGGCATTGAGAGAATCAAGGTAAGATAATTCACGAGTGTCACACTGAGGTCTACCAAACACTGCTATCTAAAAATAGCTAGCCTTTCATTGCATCATAATGAAAAAATTGCTATTTCTAGTCAACGCCGAATGATACATCCCACTGTCTCCTATCCTAACTTACGCATTTCCAGGACCACAGAACTGTGAAATAACTTCCTCCCTCCTACAATTTGCAGTCTTTTAATCCCCAAGCCTGGCGACACCAAACTATTATTACTCAATGTATATTGATCGTCTTCTCTTGAACTCTTTTTCAACCTCCCAAGAACATTGCATTTTTCCACAAGCTAACGTGCGATGGTTTGGTAGCTTGCACAATGGGTTTTGAGGCCGTCAGTTATTTCCTCATCAAAAGCATCTTAAGAAAATTGCAACAGAATGTTGTGGCATTTGAAAACAACCCAGCTAAGCTGAATTGTGACCAAGGGAATGGTGGTTTAAGAGAGAGTGCATTCAACAATGGATAAATGATCAAACGAATGTTCTGCAAAGCAGCCTGAATCATAATATATGTGATAATAATCCTTGCGTTTGATACTGCACCTCATCACGTCTTCGAGACGTCTCAAATCGCTGAGTTGACTGTACATTTTGCGGGTGAAACGCGGCAGCCCTTTGCGTACAGCAGCTTCCCACGAACAGTCGTGGATTGAGTGACCAATTTTGACTACCTTGCATGGTGCATTTTGCACGTGGCCTAAATCCTATGCTCTTTGCATTTTGCATTTTCTGCACAAATGTTATCAGTTCCCAAGTAGACTGCGTTTCTTCACAAGCTGACTTGCAGTTTCTCTAGATTTTTGCTTGAAGGAGCCTTTGTTTCTTGTCTTGGTTATAACTTGGTTGGCTGCCAATCACAGAATACAAGAGATTAATGTTTACCCCAAACTCCCAAAAATGTTCTCAATAGCAATATTTTTAGCCATAATAGAGCAATGTGTTTTTTTAATTTAGCTTGTTTTACTTTTTAAAATTTACTGAGCCTTAATGCTTGAGTTCTGAGTTCCTGGCTCTAATTTCCCCATTTAAATGGAAAGCCTGCAGGCCAAGGACATAAATGTCTGGCGGCTGGAGCCAGTTAATGACTTGCGACTCACAAGCTCCGAACAGTATTTTTTTTAACTAGACGGTTTCCCACCCATGAAACACGCAAATTAGTTCCAATTCAACTTTTTCACAGTCTTTGCAAAATAGAGACTATCCGCAGGAATACTTCTAAGAATCTGGGTCATGAAAATTTTAGAAAAGAGATCGCAATAAAATTCGGCTGTCCTTTCGTATGCAGAAGATTATTAATTATACTCTTTTGCCAACGTGAGGAAGAAAGCTTGTGATGTTTCGATTGGACATCACTTTTGTAAAATGTCTTGTGCAGTGCCTCCACTCACAAGACAGTTTTACCTGGTTTAACTAAGCAGCACATTATGACCAGAAATGTTTAAAGAAAATATCAGCGCGCATCATTGTATGAAGATTGGCAGAGAACTGGACAACAGCCAGCATCCACGGAACCAATCCCCAATACAAGAGCCTTCTTCAGCAGAGGAGCCATTACCCCTGGGAGTGGCGTTGGGGGGGAAATTAAATTAATTTTAAAACTATTAAATTGGGGCGGGATACCTTTAGATTGGGTTAATGCTGAGCTAAAGCAGTTACTGTAATTGTTTACCTCTTCAAAGAGAAGATGGTAAGTACACTTTAGTACTGATAATCTATTGTGTGGGGACAAATGTGCGCTCAGTAGATTTCATTCTCTGAATCTTACCTGGAATAGAATTTAAGAGGGAAGCTATATTCTTAGGATGTTTCCCAGACCATAAATATCTGGCTGAAGGCAGCTTTATCAGACTTGCTGGTGGGCAGATCAACAGTTTTTTTAATTGCAGACACTTGTGTCACCCACTGTAATGCATTCCATACATTACTACATCATTAAGAATTTCTTGGCCCTTCACCCAGCAAATCAAAACTGCAAACCAGGAATATTTGTACTCTGACACGATCATCTCTAGACAAAGGAAATCTCGGTAAAGAACAATTCAGTGCCACATTTAGCAATGCGTTCAATCTTGAGCGTAAACTAATTGTTCAAGCTTCTGGAGGCAGGAAGTGTGTTGTGAAACATTGTCTTGATATCTGAATATTTATATAGACAAAAACAGCAGATCCCATATTGGGTATTAGCTTAAAACTGTATTCTCTTTTTCTGATATATTCATCAATAATCTATACATGAAATGCATGTGATTACTTAGCACCAAAATTGCACCCTAAAATAATTTTCCCCTTGGTTGGAGATCATCCAGGGTTATGGTTTTAATATTTGTAAGATCAAGTTCCTGTTTAGAAAGCTTATTTAGCACACATTTATGTTGGAAGATTTTATCTTTACACTCATGTGTAAATCTTGCATCAGGCATATGGGGAAATGCCATGTCTAGATATTTTAAGTTTTTCTTCCCCAAACATTTGTAAGGCTTCCCATCGCTTCCTCCTCCTGCTACACTTTCCTTTTCAGCTGGGGGTGTCTGGACTGAGAATTGTATACCACAGGCTCGTCGAGGCTATCCATAGTTGCTGGCATGTTTTAAAAATAAATAAATTCTCAGTCACACTGAGCTCATTCTAGCTTTTTCTCTCACAGTAATTGACTGTACGAATATCACATAAAATTTACATCCACCTGAAAAATTATCATTTATAGTAAGTCCTCACTGATGACCTTACTGTGTTTTTCACTTTGCACCGATGTCACACCAGCATTTTTTGAAATTTTCCATTTACCCTGTACTGGGAGAAAGTCCTCATTGTAATCGCCCCCACTCACAATGAGCCCGAACAATCGAGTCTCGTAAATGCTCAGGAAGTAAAACGTATGAAGCAAACCCATTCTGTCAACCTTTTCATTTTTGTTATGACAGGTGTCCAAAGCTGCTGTGGACCTTATGAATTACTGCGAGCAGCACGCCCGCAATGACCCTCTGCTGCTTGGAGTCCCGGCATCTGAGAATCCCTTCAAGGAGAAAAAACCCTGCATCATCCTATAGCTCTGTCCACGACCAAACTAAGTGCAGTATGTTAGAACCAGATGCCTACCATTCACAATTGCCAACAGTGTGAGAAACACTAAATGATGACTTCATGGGGTTTAGATGGGATTTGTTGAATTAACAATTAATTCAGAAGCAACAAAAAAGGGGGATTAGAAGTTTCAACAGATGAGATCAGAATTTCGGGACTGGGGAGGGAACTTTATGGGGTATGTTTGATCATAGATATTATGATTTCTAATGCATATAAGTTTTGACTGGATTACAAGTTGACAAATTAGTTGCCTCGTTGAATTTCTCTTATTTTGGAGAGGGGAGGATCTGTTTAATTTATAAAACTGCCAGAAACACAGAGAAGTGGAATTGTATAGCATGCGCACCATAATGTATTCTGAAACTTTCAGGTCCTCAAGTGACCAAACTGAGATCCTAAATTTAGAATTTGAAATCTTTTTCTAAACCATTCAAAGCTAGCCATTTGTACATAGCCCTAAACACTTCGGAAGGGTTTACAAATTAGTTGCTTTTATATCTTTGGTTCATTCAATACTGTTAATTTTTCAGGGGAAGATTAATAACTTGATTCATTCTGTTCAATGATTGGTGTTTTAATGAATTTGTATTTTTGCCCCAAGCATTAACCTCCAATTCAATGAAGGACAACACATCAGCCAATATATTTTGGAAAAATTATCATAATTAGTTTAGTATTCTAGGGTGCAATATATTTTCCCAGAGCAGAACATTATGGATGTGTGATAAACTGCAAATCATTTAATTCTTTACCAGTGAGTTGAAGAATGTACTCTCTTGCAGTTTCTTAATTTACAGTGGCCATTAGTTTGTATTGATATCTCCAATAATGGCATTGGCATCAGACAAGGATTTTGTTTGGTGAAGGCTAATTCTAATCAAACTATATGCTCAAATTTGAGTGTTCACCAAATGGTAGTGTTATGAAAGGTTTAATAAACTTCCATGGGTGAAAACATTAAGTTTTAAATGTAGTAATAACAGTTCTCTAATCTCCAGGTCTATCCTTTTTTGTTTCAAAATAGGACAAGCTCATGAGATGAGTATGTGGCAAAATATTATTCTTTATTCTTTAAGTCATTTTTGGTTCCTTTTTCTTGGCCCATAGATGTGTGTTTTCTGATGGGTTTTTTCTGATTTCACCGAATTGCTTGTTGGCAGAACGTTTTCTGTCTTAAATGGTCTTGGTTTAATGGAGAGGGGAAATTCGGTCAAGCTGTTAAATTGTTGAAAAATCCCAATCCTTGATTATTAAGCCAGCAGTCAAACTTTAGGTGCTTTTTTCAATATGGGAAAAGTACCCAGGAAAATCCTGGTATTCCTACTGCAATGCTGGTTACTGCTGAGTATCAGACAAAGCTTCTTACCTTGTTATCGTTTGACTTCACAGAAAACAGAATCTCAGTTTGTTTCTTAAGGGAATTGTAGGTCTTTCTAATCACATCTTCTGTATCTGGATTCATATTTACTCAAATGGTGAATTCTCTCTCAATTACAGTGCAATTTAAAAGTAACTGGCAATACTGCAGGTGTTGCAAAGTGATATAATATTACTTCCCAGTCCTATCTCATACTATTGGGAATAATCTTTGTCCTCTGACATTGGAAGATTGCCCACATCATAGAAATCGACTGATGCAATTATAAGACACTTAAGATACAAATTCACTGTCTTGTGTATAATATATTATGAATGATAACCAGTATGTTTCTGAAAATGAATTTCAAGTAGCAGTCAGTTTCAGACAGACAGTAAACAAATAATTTGAGCTTTGTAGGTTATGATGTCCTGTGACCCTCAACTACACCATCCGTAATCCTCAAATATTGTACAGTATATCCCCAAATTCCTTAACTCTGAACATTGAACTTGCCAAGAAATAATTTGCCAAATCATAACATGAAGTGAATTATAGGCAGTAAGTCCATCAAGTTTCAGGTGATGAATGTTATCTGAACTCGGGATTAAATTATTGCCTTGTTATTGAACTCCACTCACCGATGTGTTTTGCTTAATTCTTTATATGCATGTGATCGGTGGCTTATTGAAGCTGTGGTCTGTTGAGCAGCAGGAGTGGTGCTGGTGACCGTGTAGGACATTTCTGTGGGTTAGTAGCTATGTGGTTTTAGAGCAATTAGAAACGGGTAGGTTTTTGCTAAAGAAAATGAATGCAAGTGCTATATAAAAAAATAAGATATTTAATGTTTCTTATGATTTTCTTTGATGTGCTATGGTCATTTTAAGTTTAAAAAAAAACGTATTTTCTCACCAGCACCATATCTAGATCTCTCCCTCTCTCTCCACATCATCCATCACTGATCAGGAGACTTCTTGCATGCTGAAACCACAGGAGCAAAGTGCACCATGTCCTCTTGTCTTTTTCCCTCCCCGCCCTTAGGAAAGTGCCTAGAATCCATTGATTGCCAACCAACTGTAATGGCGGGCTTGAGATTAGGAACTTTGCCAGGTGCACAAACTCAGGTTTGGGCCTATATTTAAGAGTTTGCCATTATCTACAAAACCATCATCCCAGTCTTTTGAGTGTTTAATACCCTACAAAATTTCTTCGGCCAAAATAATCTCTGTAGACTTGGTGTATTTTTAAACCGTGTTAGAGATGAATGCCTAACCACTAAACCAGCCCTAATTCACAGTGTTCTCTGAATAAATAGTCGATTTGTTTTGTATTTCGGTATCCCTATTTCATTATTCTAAAGGGCCATCACACAATAACCCAGAGGTATTCTCAGAGAGAGGAACTGATAGAGTGCCAGCCCATCTGTTGAGATACGATTATCTGTATTGCAAACTTATGACATTTTTTTATCACCTCAATTATTTGCTATTACTTCTTTACTTGCCCTTCTTTTTTAGCTGTCACTCATGATGATGATGATGATAATAATCCTTGCATTTGATGTAGCGCCTTTAATGTCAAAAAGACTCAAAAACGTAATGCTGTACGTTGTCAGTGTAACGTTCTGTTCATATCTGTGGTGCCCTCCCAGATTAATTCTACAGATGTGCAGTAATCAATTTGCACATTGAGGAGAGTTTCATCTGTTCTCCCAATGAGGGACTGAACTGATTACCTCTTTCAGGAGAGCTGCATAGGTTGTTTTGATCACATTCCATACACATTCAGGAGCTGTTTTACATGTTGTTCTGTAAGAGCTGTTTAATACTATAGTCAAGATTGTTAACTGCTTCCAACATGTGTATTCCACTTTTGAGTAAACAGTATAACCCATTTGGATTTGCTTCCTTGTGGGTTATTCAGACCTATGATTGTTTTGTATTGGTATTGTTTTATTTTAAGTAAACCTAGAAAAGCAAGAAGAAATCAGATCTTTGGTGACTGAAGTTGCACTCAATTGTCAAGTCTCAGAGTATATAAATGGTGCTTTTATGTCCCTTTCCCTCTCTTTGTGTGTTCACATCTTATTAATCCTGTATAGCCCGTTTTTAAATCACCCTTTCCCTCCTCCACAAGTGTTTTCCAGTTTCGTCCATTTTTAAAACTTCCCAGCTTAAGTAGTTAGAATCAGAAGGATGTTTGACTGCGGGAGATGTCACAGCTAAGCCCTGCCCTCATTCAATCTCCACACATGAAGAGATCATAATAATAATAACAATCTATAATAATCAAAAGTGGGAACCCTGGCTGATTCCAACCCCCCAACCACCAGATCAAGGACGTTGACTCTTAATTTGTAGTCCAGCTCAGATCAGTTAAGTCAAAGCAGAACAGGGATCAAAGCTGATTTATTATATGAAAGAGAAAAATGTTTTTTCTCTTTATGAAAATCTGGCTCTAACCAATACCGGCATAATTCGAAGTCAGGTTTTACTTGCCGTCAACAAGTTGACCTGCAATAAGATCGCATGATGTGGGAGTAACTGGGAAACCTCAGGCAGCAAAACTATTAAATTATATTGATAGAAAAAAACCTACTAAAGCTTAACAATAAGGCACCAAAGATATGACTTCAATGTATAACCTGTTGAACTTACCGAAATGTTGTGTGATCGAAAATCTACTACTTTGCCATTACATCGACCATCAAAAAGTTGCTCTTCTGCAGATAATTCCAAGGCTGATCAAATGGTCGATCAAACTCGGGTAAAGTGTGTTTAAATGAAAGTGGCTTTCATGTAATTTAAGAATGTTTTTGTAACAAATTCTCTGCCATATTGTTATCTTGTTGCCAAACCTGTGAGTTTTCCGACTGCTGTAAAAACGTGTCCAATAAGCTAACATTTTTTGTCTATTTTATTAATTTGCCTCGATTTCTTTCCAGTGTGCCATAGTCCACTTCCTCGTAGTGTTTTAAGAAAAAATCGTGGAAATGTTGTTACCAAGTGGATCGATAACACAATAAAATGTTCACATTTTCATTCTCGGTTTCGGTCTTCATTTACAATGCAGATACTGGCCGAACAGATTGTGCCGTTGCATTGCGTTAGAGTGGCAAAAGGTGGATGAGCTGAAACTTTTTCCCACACCGCATACTCATTCCCCTATGTTCGAGTCCAAGCAACTTCAAACACAAGTCCAGTGCTGCTTTGAAAAGTCCGGTCACCCTCCCTGCCCCTCCCCGCCCTCCACCCCTCCTGATCCAAACCACCAGCTCGAGTGCGGATCCCTGACTGTCCAGCGCTTTGGGATGTCCTCCTGACGTGAAAGGCATGATGGAAATGTAATTTGTTGTTGTTTAATGCTGCCCTCCACAAGCTAAAGTGTAGTGCTACAATAGTGCAGTGTTTTAGCTCCAGCTTCAACCATGCTGTAGCATCCTGGTACCCAGGTTTTGCCTGTGTAATTGTAGGATACCTGCTTTCTTTTGCATAAACCTGGTTGAACACAACCCAATTCTCACGAATTTGGCTATGGGGCAGAAAGCTTGGGAGCAGATCACGTTTCCTCCATGGAATAGGGAATGGTCCATTGCCCAGGGTGACTTTTGAGAAAATTCCACTCTTCTCGAAAGGGCAGTGTAAAGGTTAAAAGTAGCTTGGGAATATCTGGACAAAATATTGTGCTGACAGAAATGTAAACAGAAGAGTTTTTTTAATGTTTTGAGATTGGGCCTGTGAAAAGCCAAGGCCAACAGATACCACACACCCAAGTTGCTTTTCAAATAGCTAATGGTTCGAGCCATTTCCACACAAGCTACCAGTAAGCTGTCATCATCATCCCCAAGTGGCCTCTGAGTTCGTCAGTTCCCAGTAATCCTGTTGGATGGGAATTGTATCCTTCAGCTCCTGAGCCAAAATTCGTCCAAACTGCTGTCATCATTATCGTGAGTGATGGAATCTGGGAGCCTCGAGGAACATATTACATCAGGATCACAAACCTTTGCTCTCCTTTTGACTGTAAAGGGTCCATTTTGTTTACTGTTGAGCAATAAGCTGGCTTCAGGAGAACAAAGTGAGGTGTGGCTATCCTGTTATATATACGTCACCATTAATACGACGTGTCTCATACTACCGTTTACCAAAGGGACAGCTGCCCTGGCATCAGGCCATCTTTCGTGCACTTGATATCATGTACTTGCAGCTGAGAGAGTTTTTGTCAACAAAGAAACACAATGGAAAGCAGTAAAGGTCTTGAGTATGAAGAGTTAACTGTCAATTTAACCCAAACCGTATTATACCCCCTCACCCCACCATCCCTAGATCAGGGCTGTTGAACCCAATTGTTGTCGATATCTTATGAGATCAACAGACTTGCCAAAGACCAAGAATTGAACCTGGAGTTATCTTAGCCAGATGGCTGACTCCTGTCCTGTTCAGTGTATTTCATCAGTTGAGCTGGTGCTAATATTCCAAAAGCCTGTGCAAATGTGGGTTGGGGTGAAGCAGGCAAACAAATGGTTATTTTTTAAAAGCTTAACTACCTTTGTGTTTCATGGGTGTGAGCTTGACCTTTGTCCACACATAAATACAGTTGTGGAAACTATGGAAGAGGAAAAAGTACAAACTGGTTGATTGCAATTGCTATTTATACTACAGAATTTCATAGAATTCAGACTGTTTTTATAATGCAATTCCAATTAAAAGAACTTGAATGCTCCTTTTTAGTATTGATTTTCAGCCCCTCCACTATCTTTAATAGAAAGGCAGTTGTGATACCAAATAGTGCATTGTAACGCAGATCAATATAGAATTTGAGGCGCTTTTGGATCCCCTCCCGACGTGAAAGACACCCCAAAATGTAATTTGTTGTTGAGTTAGCAGAAAGCTGTTGGTAGCGTAGTGTGATTAGTAGGTTTAAGGGGTTGGTTTATGGGACAACTATGAGAAAGTGCATTTTTCAATAGGATTTACCTCAATCTTTTAGTGACGTGTTCTGCAATAAAATCTCTCTTGGGTCATGTATTGCTAATTAACTATTTGCCGGAGGAACTGATCAACATCATAACTGGAATGCTTGACATATGAAAAGCAGATCCAATGTCCTAGACATCCTATGACTGAGAGATCAGATTGTAACACCTCTCTCAAATTCCTAGCCAGATAAACAATCACTTGTGAGTAATCGAACCTGTAGTGCTCCTCTGTCCCCTTCCTCATCATTGTTACACTCTCCCACTCTGTCTAGTACTCAGTCTCTCCACCTGCATAATAAAATACAACCAGTCTGCTCCACTGTCTTCCTAAATATCTTCCGTCTAGCCAGAGCCGTTGCAAATTTTTCCCAGTCTGGATTCCCCCCACGGTTTGGCCCATTCCCCTGGAACCTATTCCAGACTATGCAGCTGAAACTGCAATAACATAAGCTTTCCTCTTTAATGTTAAATACTCCTTGTCTAACGATTCTAGGTGGAGCGTTGTTTTATAGCGGGTGGGGGGAAAGCTCCAGACTGGAAAGATTGAAGAGGATAAAACCCATTCACAACAGAGGAAATGCTGTCATTGTTGCGCTGTCTTTTTGCAGACACGAACGAGTCTTGGTATAAAGGAGGTGCTTTCAGGGCGATATGTTCCTGACAGTCTGGCTGCTCGTGTTTTGCTTTACTCGTGTGTGTGGTGTGTGTGTGTGTGAGAAAGCAAAATGCCCTGGCCTGTCCCAATCGTCTCTGGCCGCTAACAGAGTGGAAATTCCTAGCATTCCAGCCTCTCACTCACACTGTCTGACCTCACCTAATTCTATGGAAATCATTTGAACTCTTCTCTTTACCAGAAGTCTCAGGAAATAGCCCTTCCTTCCCACTCGAGACTAAAGAACTAGTCTCCGTCTACTACTATCCATAGCCTTGATGTTTTACAGCTCTGAAACACATTCCAGCTGATTCCTGGAACAGATGATGTTTGAGGGGGAGGTTTTTTTAGACTCGTGTTTGTTCCATCCGTTCAGTGGAGTTTATTTTCTCACATTTCTTGTTGAAAACCTGATATAGATAATAATAAAATAATGACTGAAAAAAACACCAGATGGATGGGAGGGGGGGGGGGGAAACAGCATTGCAGAATTTCCTGCATTTTTGTTTTGTCGGAAACAACACTGAATAAAAGCACGAGCGAGCCAGCTGTCAACATTTATCAAAACTTGCTCCATGACCACCTGCAAAGACAGACTGGTTCTCGATGGTGATCTGCCGATCCTAGTCCCGACAATAACATCATGCAATGATTAAGCACAAGCATGCCTGTAGCAACATGACACCTTCTTTAACTCTCTTCATTCCACTTTAATAATAATAATCCTTGCATTTGATATAGCGCTTTTCGCATCTTCTCGACGTCTCAAAGCGCTTCACAGAATAGACTGTAAAGTGAATTGACTGTATAATTGTGGGCAAAACGTGGCAGCCAATTGCGCACAGCAGCGTCCCACAAACAGTCGTGGATTGAAAATGACCAATTTATTATTGTTTTGTTTTGGAGGAATTATTAGGCGTGTGGAGTAAGGAAACGTGCCCAAGGTTTCGCCCTGCCGGGAATTGAACCCAGTTGTCTTGCTTAGTCACTTTGTTGTCATGCTTCTTTCTATCAATCATAGTATGGGGCAATCAAGCTATGTAATAGTAAGATTGTTATTCCTATAACTCACGAATGTGACTACTATATAACATATAATAATAATCCTTGCATTTGATATAGCGTCTTCACATGTCTGTGAGACGTCTCAAAGCGTTTCACAGGATATACTGCAAAATGAATTGAATTATCCACATTAACACATGAACTTTCCAGCAGGGGTCACCAATCAATGATTGGGAAAAAGCCTTGGCTGATTTTCTTTGACCCTCCATAGCCCAGGGGCATGAAGGCCAGATTTTGTCCCTGTTGGTCTTAAAATTAAGATAACTTTACTCAGCGCAAACCGGAGATCAAAACTGAGAAAATTCACAATACTGTACTTGGATTACTCATCTCAATGTTTGACTGCTACAGTTTCCTACACAACCTTCATTTCTGATTAATCTCATTGTGTTAAGCACTTTTGCGATGTTTCTGTATGTGAAAGTGTAAATGAAGGACGTACTTAAGTTAAATACACGTAAGAAAGTAAACCTTTAATTATTTTGTTATGATGAGTCATGAGTATTTGTGTTACACACTCCTCTCATACCAGCAGTGTGTGTCAGATGCCTAGAGGGGAAAGAGGTAAACACAAACATGGCTTCTAGTGACTCTCGGTTCATGATATTTAATAATAATAATCATTATCCTTGCATTTGACATAGCGCCTTATCAGATCGTTGAGACGTCTCAAAGCGCTTCACAGGATATATTGTAAATTGTGTATTTTAAGGGCGAAACGAGGCAGCTAATTGTGCTGGTGACTGTAGACATCCACTGATTAATGAATATTTATGCCACGTGTGGGGGCTGAGGTACAGGGTTATTCCTGGGCTTTATTTCTGACTCAAAACTGCTGTTTGAGCTGTTATGTTTGTTGATTGTTGGACGACAAGTTGTTTCAGATTTGCTCCTTCCCCTCGGGACTCTGCCAGTCCCAGTCTAACTGCCGGAGTAGCCTTTAATAAATGCACACTATGCTGCCAGCACTGCTCATTTCTTAGAACAGGAGGTGGGATTGTCATCCGTGTTAAAGGGGCCTTTCAGAGACTTGAAAACCTCTTGTGTCTAATCTACTCGTTTTTTTTAAACTAAATCGGTGATTCTGTTGAACAGTAAAATAGCAATATGCAAGGAGTCAGGTTTCATGCTCACCCGCCCTTCCTAATCTTAAATGCTCCCGGACCCCGCCCTGCATGGAGAGCGCTAAATAAATGCAAGTTGTTGTTGTTGTTGTTAGCCACCTCATTGTTAGTGTCAGCGAGCAGAGGAAATCGAGTTACAGCTCTGAACTGTGTTCATCTCAAGCCAGCCGGAGAAAAGGGAAGAGGTTACATTTCACCGTGGCTGGACCAAGTTAGTGGAAACTT